ATGAAAAGAGTGTTGCATTTATATATTTTTAATAGATATAATATTTAGTCTTTAAATTTTTTAATAATTTTTTTATTAGATCTTTAAATTAAAAAATATAATTATATCTTTTATATTTTATATTTTAATAATTTAGTTCTTTGAGTTAAATTTGGTTTATAATCTATAAAATTTACAAAATATTCTTAATATATGTGGATGATGATATGAAATAATAATTTAATATGTTTATCTAAATATAAAAATATTAAGAATATTTTGTAAAATTTCATGGATTGTAATGAATTTTTAACCATAAAAATCAAATTGTGAAGATATTCAAAGATGAAAAACTTAATTATAAACTTTTTTTAGTTTAGAAATTTAAAAAACTTCAAGAATCAAATGATATGTTAAATGTTTTTTATATATCAAAATCAATTCAAGAAATTATGAATAAGAACTTAATCAAGGAATGTTTCTTGTGAGTTTTTTTAATTATATTATCGATGTAAAATATTTTGAGTTTGACTAATTACTAACTTTGAAAATTTAAGAAGATACCTTTATCAGAATTTGCCTTTATTTTTATCACATTTTTTTCACCCACTCAAATTAAGGAGTTACTTAATAATCTAGTCCAAATTGGCTTCAATTAATAAATATAAAACTTTGTCTTTGAAAAGTTCACAAAAATTTTGAGAAGTCAACAAAAATTACGTCTCACAAATAGAAAAGAGTTCTTAATTATTAAGATACTAGGCATAATTAAAACAAAAATCCCATAGCAAGAAACATGCTGTTTTACACTGTTGATAACGAAAATCCAAAATGCATGTCGCTCCCATTTTCATGCCAAACGGCAAGGTACAGCACGCCCTTTCATTTAAAAAACTATGACGTAAATGATTTTTTTATTAAATTATTAATGTGTTGGTTTCACATTAAAATCGTATTGAAAATTAGCTTACATGATTTTAAGAAACATTCACATATTTAATTTTATGTTGTAAATATAATTTTAGGTTTCAATTGTTTTTAAATTGAAAAAAAATTATGAATCTTTTTGTGTTGAGTAAAAAAAAATTATAATGACTTATCACCAACTTTTTATATAATAAAATAATCTAAAAATAAATTATATCACTTCAAGTTTATTTTTAGTAACAAATAATTTTATTAAAGGTAAATATAAAAAATACATCCTTTTAGACACACTCTTCTGTATTAAATAAAATTTATTACAAATTATAAAATTTTATGAATATCATTCTTACATAATAGTTATTTATTTTGTACTTTTAAATAAATTTTAATCAATAAAAAAAATATAAAGTGTTTTAGAAATTACATCCCTTTCACTCCTCTTTTAGGAAATCAAGGTCATACAAAATTAAAATTTTATTAGTACTAATCCAAACGTGTTTCATATTTAATTATGCTTCAATATTTTGAACATGTGTCGTGTGTGTGATAGAGACATGCCATTTTGAAATATTTATACTAACTTGAAAAAATATTAAAGAAAATGTTATAGGATTCAAAATATTCACATACTTAGAAAGTTATTCCCCCTCTCTCCTTTTATATATTTATAATTTTATGAAGTCAACGTCATTCAAAATCAAAATTTTATTAGTACTCATCCAAACATGTCTTTGTTTAGTTGTGCTCTAATGTTTTGAGACGAATACTACGATGGACTACCTTTATAGGTAGCCCACGAAGTACCAATTTTGTTAATCGTTAGATAGATCAAGTGTTCATAATATCATGCACCATGTGCATGAGTTTTTTTTTTTTTTTTGTTCAATTTTGTTTCATTGGTATTATCCAAACATTGTCAAGACTCGAGGTATTCTAATGGCAACAATTGGTCATTATTTTGCAATCAAATAATGAATAAGACATAAACAAATGGAAAGAATATGGTGATGGGCATTGTCACTCCTCTCTTTCACCTTTGGTAGATCCTTCAAAGCTCTTCATTTTCTATTTCTTCAATGTTGTAATCGTCATTTCAAGTTAAACTTCAAAACTTTAACCTTAGGCAGTCTCAAGCTCCTTAATGACGTGCACTTAAACAATGTCATTATTTGTCTCAAGCACAACCTTGTTGTCCGCACTTTTAGTATGGTAGAGCCTTTTACTATCATCAAGATAAATTTTGGCAAACGATAAACCACTTTTCAATGAGCTTCATCATCTTCTTTTCCTTCTTCATCACCAAACTCAACCTTTCCTAAGTTATAGAGAAACAATGAGGAGAATAATTGTTTCTAAATTAATTGAATTGTTGTGCACTATAATTTATATTTCCTAAGTTTTAATAGTTGTTGCGGAGGATAAAGTCGATCCTAATGATAAATAACAACTATTACAAAGGATGAAATTATATTTAATAACAAATAAACTTAAAATAGTTTTACAAATTAAAAAAACAATAACAAAAAGATAAGATAGATTCAATTGTGTTGTGATAATTCTAATACGACCCTGTAGGATGGTAATAGGGTTAACTACACCAATCTCGAGCTTTAGTACAAAAAAAATTGTCTCAAGAAGACCTTTAGTGAGCAAATATGCAAGTAGGATATTAGAGGGAATGTGCACCACCTGAACCTTGTTGTTTGAAACAAGATCTTGAGCAAGATGATAATCTATTGTTAGATGGTTCGTCCTATAGTGAAATACAAGATTTGCACACAAGTATGTAACACCAAGATGATTAGAATGTATCATCGGTGGATTGGGAAACTTATAATGGAGCTCTTGAAGAAGATGTTGTAGTCATTGAACCTTAGTGGCAGTTGATGCAATAGTTTGGTACTCAACCTCAATGGACAACTTTGCAACAATTTTTTTGTTTACGACATGACCATGAGACAAAATTTGGCCAAAGTAAATAATGCAAGCACTGATAAATTTGAAATATGTGGAGTCACCAGCCCAAGCAAAACCATAATAGGCATTACTAAATGATAAAGGATGACACTTAAAGTGAAGTCTATGATTAATTGTTCCTTCTAGATATCTTAAGACTCATTATGCATCTTGAAAATGAATGTCAGTAGGGCAACTCATATGTTGTGCTAACCTAATCATCGAGAAGGCAATGCCAATTCTTGTGAGTGACAAATATTAAAGGGAACCAACAAGACACATGTAAGTAATAATATCACAAGTTAAACAATCAACAAGTGCAATGAGAGATGAGTTGGAAGACATTGGTGTGGTGGTACATTTTTCATCCTGCATGTAAGTCTTTGAGCAAAGATACAATATAGTGATGTTGTGTGAGAAATAAACCTTGATTTGTAGGAAGGAACACAATGCCAAGGAAAATGACCAGGTGTCCTAAGATTTTTAAGTGAGAATGTTTGAGACAATGCCTATTGAAAGTTACCCAAACATCTTTGATCATTTATTGTGAGAAGCGAATCGACATAAACTATAAAATACATCAAAATATGATTATTTTTATATACAAAAAGGGGAGTATTTGATTTAGCATCTGTAAAGTCATAATCAACACCCTAAACCCACAAGGAACTAAGGAAGATGCTCATTACCTTTAAGAATCCTTAAGTGATCCTATAATTTGTCCCGTTCCATAGGCAAGAAATTGACATACACCCTAGAACAACACCACTCCATTCCAACCCTAGACAAACAAAAAGAAAAACACTGCATATGCAAATCAGTGACTCTCGCATCAAATAATGAGTCACACTTCCTTAATAATTAGATAACACCAACATGGCCTCTAGCTTCTTAGATCTCCTGAGGGAGGTAGGGCCACCTCTCCCACATGTTACACATATTCAAGAATTGTGCATGAACCTTAATCAAGGAAACAAAACTAGGTTGATGTTTTACGGATAACATCACCAATGTGGGCCTTGTTCCTTTTACCTACAGCTCCTCAAACGTTATAGGAAAGAATTTTCCATTTAGCAAAAACTATCAATGGGGCATGAACAGAATAAGATAAAGACTGACAAATGTTATCCAGGCTATTAACCCATATGTATTTGCGAATCCTCTACCATATCCTCCTCATTCACCATATAATCTTCATCCTCTATAACCCAAATAGAAGATGTCACCTTAATATTTTTAATATCCCTTGGTTTCACAATGTTTTCCTCAAAAGAAAGTTTCTCTTATCTGTTTGAAGGTTTACGGGAGTGGAAATTAATCCTGCAAGTCGCCTCCTTTAGCACCCAACTAATACTAGGCCCACTTGTATCTCCCTCTCCAATATTGTTAACTTTAACACACTCTTCAGCCGACCCTTCTACATTACTTGCATGGGCATGCAATGTGGTAATTTTTCCCACGTGCCCTACTTTTCTCACCAAATTTAGGCCCACCATTTTTACTTCCAAAAATTGTGTTGAGGCTTATGACACAATCATTTCCTTTTCCTTTTCAACCAAATATTTTTGTGCTAGTGTTGGTTTTCAGGGTAAGCACATCCAAGTTTTTGTAGTATAGTAAAAGATTGTTGATCCTAAAGAATTTGTGAAGTAGAAATGGTTTATGTTATACTAATTGCTACTTGTTGAATCTAATTTTCAATGTACAAAAATATCAAGTGTTTGATATAAATAAAAGTAGACCAAACTTAAGTAAAACTGGAACTGAATTAAATTTAGAGAAGTAAAAATATATTAAGCAGTTGAGATTAAATTTCATCAATCTTCCTTTTATATATTCCTAATAATTATTACAAATTAAATACAATTTAAAAGTTTAAATTATTTAAACGCTATTCAATTTAGAAATTTAAATTAAATACAATTTTTTTAGTTGTAATTGTTACACTTACTTTACTACTCATAACCTATCCCTAATTAACCAATGAAATGTTGAATCGATTTTTAAAATTCAAACACAAATTTACTATGATTTTTTTAATATCTCAATTTGATCCTAAGAAGTACTTGGATAGAGAATTATTTATTTATGTTGATGTAAAAAGCGGAAAAAAGGAGAAAAAATTGAGCGTACTATTAGAGGCGGGGGACACGTGGGAGACGGTGTAAGGAAGGAACTTCCATTCCATCCATCGTCGTCGTCAAACCCTATCTTGCTTCGCATTCGCCTCTTCTCAATCACTCTGCCCCCAATTATTCCTAACCCTAACCCTAAAACCGAAGCTTCTCATGAAATTCCCTGCGCTAAACTCCACGCTTTCAGAATCAGGTTCGATTCCCTAACCCTTCACAAATACCTTTCGTCTCTTTGCAGTTTTCCATGGAGGGCTCTGCAGAGGATCTCGGAGCCCCCGAGTCATGGGAGGTCGCTGATTTGGACGAGTCCATGAACCGCTTAAACCTGATGCTCTCTTCCAACAAAGATTCTAACCCTCACGCCGACGATGCTCCTCCGCCACCGCCACCTCCTCCGCCTCCTTCCTCCAGTGGCGACACGGTTTCCGACGACATCGTCAATCAGGTTGATCAGTTCCTTCGCGAAGCCATTCAGAACCCTCGCGAACGCCTTTCAAGTAGGTTTACCTTTGCCTGCATCGGTTTAATCAGAGGAAGATATTTTTATAAGCTATTGCTACTTCGTTAATTGTTTTTGAATTTTTATAGACTCCAAGCGTCTTGGATTTTATTTTTAGGTGTTGTCTGTGGGTAGACTCAATTCGTGACCTAAATTTTTATTAAGGAGTTGTTTTAGGTTCTGATTAGTAATAAAATTGCTAGGATTGTAATTGAGTACACTGCTAGTGTATTTTACGCTCGTGTGTCTGATCAGAGAAACAATTCTATCGCTCTTTCTTTATTTGCAAGTGTAGCTATCATACGAAAGGATTTGGGTCTCTGAAGTGAAAGATTCAGTTTAGACAGCAAAGTGAGGAGTTATCCGTATATCATTGATTGGAATATCAATTGATATGACTGTGATGAAATGCATCTTTCTCCCTTCTCATCAACCGATATAATCCCTTATTCCTCACTTCTAAAGTGAATCCCTCACTATCCCATTTGAAAAATCAACCAAACTGCTTCTTTACATTGATTGAGTTTGAACTAGTTAATTTGTGATTTTGTTGGTGTGAGCATCTGGTTTGTGTGTACTGACGGGTGACATTGATCTTTTCTGTTCCTTCAGATTTATAATTTTCAGGGGTTGTGTTGATCAGTAGATCTATTTTTTAGGGGAGATTAACCCCCTCCCGAAAATCAAAATAGAGGATGCAAAAAATATGGCTTATTCAAAATTTGACACTTACATGTTCTACGCTACGTAATGCATTTGCTTGCTACTTTTGTAATGCATCTGTTATGCACTTATGAATGCTTTAGTTGTATGCTATTTGTTTGATCTAAAAAGCTTTATGTTCTTAGAGCTATAACTTTCTCAATTGATTAAGGTTTGTAATTTGATATATTCAGTTTTGAGGATGGAGCAAGATGTTGAGAATTTTATTCGCGATCCTACTCAACAGAAGCTTGAATTTAAGCAGCTTCCAACATCCTATTTAAGGTTGGCTGCACACCGGGTGGCTCAGCACTACTCATTGCAGTCAATGGTTTTACTGGATAGTAGTTTACCAGATGGCTCTGGGTCAAGAATTATCGTTAGTAAAGCCCCTGAATGTAAGCTTCCAGCTATTCGCCTTGCAGACATCCCAGTAAAATTATCTACAGAAAACAATGCTGTCATGAAGGTTGCAATCAAACAGAGGCCGCAGAAGCGGACACAGATTCATAGCAATGCAAATTCAAACTCCGTGAAGAATAATAACTCTAAAAGTGTGGAAGAGAGAAAAGAGGAATACAATAGGGCTCGAGCTAGAATTTTCAGTTCAAGCAATAATGGTGGTACTGTAGGTGGGAAGCCAGAGTGTGAGACAAGGCAGCAGGATATCTCATTGCATGGCTCCTTGGGGGTTCCTCGAGTGGAAGATAAATCTGCTTCTGTATCAGATGTCACTTCCAGTAGGGGGTTGGTTGAGTCTTCAACTAATAGCAGTTGGGGGTTGGTTGAGTCTTCAACTAATACCAGTAGGACTAGAAGTAGGATGGAGAAGGAGCCAGTTGGTAGGTACAGGCAAAGTAATAGGGTGGCTATATTTCGTGACCGTGAGGTCGACCGCAAGGATCCTGATTATGACAGGAGCTATGATAGGTATGCATGCCTTTTACCATCTTAGTCATGCATTTGTCTTCTAAATTTTGTGACCTTGCCTTGTTCCTCTTTCACAAAATAAATTTTGAGTTTTCTGGCATCAATGATTTGTCACCTGTACAGTGATTAGAAATTTTTACACGTTTCTTCATATTCAGATCACATTTTTCATTTATCTTGTGGTTATGGAGTGTGGACAGAATATCTGATGTCAATCTGTCATATTTGAACAATGAATGAATAATTGATAACTGAGGCATTTGGACATGCATTTAGCATATATTAATCATTAATCATATCCTGTCCTATGTGGATTTACTGTATATTGGCTACCATTTCTGTCACATTGAAGATTTATTTTATATATATCCTCTCCAGTTTGAATGAATAATTAATAATTGGTTTTGGTTAACAAAATATTCTGATTTCTCTGTTTGTTTGCATTTTTCAAGTGTTCTTAAAACCTAGAATGATTTGAATGACTGTTATGTTATTATTTTAATTTTAATACTAAAATATTATATTAGCAATGTGTAATATTTCTGCATTGTTGTGAAACAGTAGTGATCAGTGGTTGTATTCCGGGTAGGGGTGGTCAAATAGATCAACCCAGTCCAACCAACCCACTAAATGCAGGTTAGTTTGGTTGAATCCATTGTGATTCTTGATTAGAAATCCCTACCCAACCCTAGCTTGGTTGCAGGTTGGGTTGGGTTGACTTGCCATAATTTAAAAAAAAAATTATAACCCATGGATTGACCCACCAAATAAATAAAAAAATAGAAAAAAATATAAATAATGCAAAATTCTAGATAACCATAATAACCATTAATTAGTCCATCTAAACATTCTAATACTTGAAATACATCCACCAGGATCTTAAAAGGAAAGTTTTAGAAACATTAATACTTTAGTCCATCACACCAATAGGTCCACAAACGACAATAAGTCTTAATTAGCCAATAAACCACAAAGCAAACACCACATTAGGAGTGTTCATTGAATCGGATCAATCTAACAAATCCGACAATTCGAACTGAACCAATTAAATTGTTTTTTTTTTTTGTTCAGGTCGAACCTGAACCAAACCAATTAAACCCTATGTTGATTGGTTTGGGTATCAGATTTACACATTTAAAATCTGAACAAACCGAACCAAACCAATTAATTTATATATTATTATTATTATTTTTTATTTGGTTAACAATTAATAAATATGTATCATTGTGATTATTTTGAAGACATTTTTATGTTATAGTATGTAGATTTTTTCATTCCTTTTTTCAAATACTTAAAAGAAACCAAGAATAACTATATTGCAATATATTGAGTGTCATTTTCACACATTGTAGTGCATTTGAAATCCTTAAGTAGATTAAGAAACGAAACCAAGAGTAACTATATTGCAAATCTATTAATTTAGTTAATTTTTGACAATATATCAATTTTGTTAATGATGGAAAATCTATTTACTAAGAAAAAAAATATTTTTTTAAACTATTGGATATCCAATGACCCAAACCAAACCAACTCAATCAATATCGTATTGGATTGGTTTGGTTCGGGTTAAACAAAAAAATTTATGAAATCCGAACCAATCCAAACCACTTTAATCTAAATGGTTTAGATTAGATTTTCACCCAAACTCGAATCAATTCGACTTGTGAGCACCCCTACACCACATGCTGTAGTCTAAAGTCAAAATGAATCAGTAATGGGCCAGTGGGTTGACCCATTTCAAACCCATTTACATCTGGGTACACAGGGCTGGTTATAATGTTCCAATGGGTTTAGTGGCTTAATGTAGTCTGCTTGTTTAGCGGGTTAAAAGGACAACCCAATGGGTTATTGTATACTATGTAGCACGGATTCGGATGACACGAACACGGGGATACGACAAAATCAAAAAAATAGAACATGTGGACATGGCATATATATAATATGATTAACATGACAAAAAAATCATATATTTATATGACAATAACTTAGTCTCATAAACAAATTACTAAGAGGTACCATAGTCCACAACAATATATCTTTCAGTTAGTTTCGATTCTATGACTTTGGTTCTGTTATGTGAAGGTTAAGTAAGCAAAGACAAGAACAATTCCCTTTTTTTTTTTATTTATCTGTTTTTATCAAGATTTTTTCTTCTTTTATTTTTTTTTGAAAGTCCTGAATCCTCCCTTCCTTGTTTATGTTTTTATCGAGATTTTTTTTTAAAAATAAAATCTCGAATCAGCTCATCAAAGTGTTGGACCGTGTGTGTTGGGATGGAGACATGTTTGTTTTGCAGGTCTCCGCAATGGGGACATGTTCGGTTTGTGCAAACATGTCGGGATGGAGACGCGTCCGTTTCACGTGTTTGCAATGGAGACATGTCTGGTTTGTGTGGACATGGTGCGTCCGCGGCATGTCCACTCCGGAAAAGTGTCGAGCACTGGGACACAACAGTCCCACACTGCATCCGTGCATCATAGATCATATATGATAAATAATTATAACTTACAAATTGGCTGATGTCCCATTAAATGGTGATACTTGTGTCTTTGTTATTTTATGTTTAAATTTTAAAAGTAATCAAATTTGTATGTGCATTTTTCTTTCTGCCATATTCCTATTGGGTCTTACTCCATTTATTGTGTGATTGTCTGCAATATTTATAGTTACTGTAATCCCAGGCTCTTAATGATTTCTACAATATTATCTATAATTTGTAATTGTGGTTAAGTCATAGTAGTCAATCCCGGATAGCGGAGCGGAGCGGTCGACCCTAAAACTGGAATAGCGGGATGAAGCGGAACGGGATAACCGCTATTTTAATATTAATTTATATATATTAAATAATTAATAATATATATATAAAAGCTAAAAAAATAAAAAATAACTCTAAATTCATGCATTAAACATTTTTAATAATTAAAAGTTCATAGTACTCAAACAATACATAATATAAAATGTTTAGGGCCAATAGCTGGAGTTTATGATTCAAATTTACTGAGGCCCAATTAGTTACTACTTTATCTAATCTCTGAAGTTTGATAATTGCTCTTGTCTCCGAATTTATTTATACTCTCATTTTATCTTACAAATGTTTACTGACTGCTTCAAACTTCATTTTCTTGTTATAGCTGTGGAGCTATGACACATGATTCTAAGTCATGCATGGAAATTAAAAATAAAATCAGCTGAATTAAATTTAATCAAAAATTAAAAATAAAATTTGCTGAATTAAATTTAATCAGAAATTAAAAATAAAATCAGCTGAATTAAATTTAATCAGAAATTAAAAATAAAATTTTCTGAATTAAATTTAATCAGAAATTAAAAATAAAATCAGCTGAATTAAATTTAATCAAAAATTAAAAATAAAATTTGCTGAATTCAATTTAATCAGAAATTAAAAATAAAATTTGTTGAATTAAATTTAATCAAAAATTAAAAATAAAATTAGCTGAAATAATTTAATAAAAAATTAAAAATAAAATTATGTTGCAATGTTGCATAAAAGAGAGAAGAGTCGAAGGAGAACAGAAGACAAACTAAGCGGACGGAGGCGCGTCGGAGCTGGAGGCACGTCGGACCTGGAGGCGCGTCGGAGTTGGAGGTGCGTCGGAGCTGGAGGCGTGTCGGACCTGGTGCGTCGGAGATGGAGTTCGTCGGAGCTGGAGTTCGAAATAGAGGACTGCGCGCACGATCGCGGAGAAGAAAGAAACAAAATCCGAGAGAGAGGAGAGGAGTGCGAGAACTGAAACCGCGAGAGGGAGAAGGGAGCATTAGGGCAAAAAAAGCCCATTTGAAAAGATGGACTTACCCTTAATGAAGGGTATGTCGAAATCGCGCCGCTGTTTCCGCGATTTTTGCCGCCCCGCTCCGCCACCGACGCGGCCGCTCCGGCCGCGACACAAATCCGCCACGCGACAGCAGCGAGGTTGCGGGGTTAGGCCGCTTCGCTCCAGAGCGCCGCGATAGCGGCCGCTCCGCCCGCTATTGACTACTATGGGTTAAGTTGTATTGTACCATTTTTATTCCAGTTACGAAAAAATGATTGGATTATATTCTGAAGGGGGTGATTCATATTTCAAGTACATATGCTAGAAAAGTCCCATCCCGCAAAATATGTTGAAGTGGGTAACCCTTGTGTTAATAACTTTTTTTAAGGGGGATTAAACAAAAAGTTTATGGATGGTGGTCACTGTGTTCAATTCTTGCATAAACTATGCATTTAAATTCTTCATAATGGATGTTTGAGTATCTAGAGCTTTATTTAGGTTAAGTACATCTATACTTGATTTGACGTTGGGATTATGGATCACAATAAATTGCGATAAATTGCGATTTTATGTGCTTATCTGTTATATATATATAGATATAGATTATAGTCGTGTTGTATTTTACTATAAAAGTAATAATATATAAAAACTGTTATATATGATGCATGGATTAACTTTATAATCTACTTAACTTGCATTGCAGGTATATGCAAAGATTTGATCCTGGATTTGGGTTCAATGGAGGATCATATGCAATGCAGCCAATGTATACAGCAGTATTAAATTACAACACTGAGTTTCCACAGCTTGGATCCACTCATAGACCCCAGCTTTCTACTGAACACCAACCACGACCTCTTCCGCAGCATATACCTGGGCCATGGGCTGCACAATCAACACCTGCTGGAATTGGATATGGACATCCCGAGACCATGATGCCACCATTTAGTCCTAATCAAGTTGGTGCACACTCCTCGTCAGCCATGTATCTGCATTCGTCTCAGTATCCTTGTCAGCGCCCTGGAATGCCTTTTATCCATCATGAACATGTTCACCAACCCTTTGCACAGGTATAAACAGCCACCAAAGTCTCCAATTTGTGATTGGTCAGGTCATATACAATGTTTTAACAGGGTCCATACCTTCATGCCAGTGGCATAATGTTTTGCTTGCAGTATGTTTTGTACTACTTTCATGATGTTCATAGTCTTAAAAGGAATTTGATAGCAGTAATGTAGGCATGTAGATCAGCTGTCTAATAGAATAAATGAGTATCTCTAAAACTGTGCGGCAAGTTACCTTTCCTAGTCTGCCAATTCAAGTGGTATACGTGTATGGGCATAATTATAAAACTTTTAATGATCTATAATATTAGAATATAAACATTTGATCAGTTAAAGAAAATTAAAGCTCTCTATTTAAAATAATACAATATTTTTAATCCTAAGCTAATTGTTAAGAGGTTGAACTTAAGTTTTGAATCTGTTAGGCAAAAAGCTTGAGTTTGTGTTGTACACTACTCAACTTCAGATGTGTGTGTGTGTGTGTATAAATATATATCAAAGAGAGCAAAACAGACAGAAAAGAAAGGGATGTTAGCCTGATCCCTTTTGACAGTCAGCCAAAATCAGTTCAAAGATAACCGAAAGTCAGAAACAGCTTTTACAATGCAAATATTAATAATACAAAATATATTAATCTAACAATAATTACAAGACTTTCAATACTACCAGATATAATTTCAATCATGCTTGGCATTTTAAACTTTGAGGTGCGAGTCCTGTCAGTGGCCAGTTCCACCAAAGTCATGAAATAAAAAGGTTATTTGCTATTTAATGTTTTTTTTTTTAAGTTTGCTGACTAAAACTACAGTAAAAATAAATTTTAAAAGTAGAAAAATAACCAACCTATGTTGGAAAAGACATACAATTATAGACATTGAGGAATTCCTCAACAAATTTAAACTATAAGGACTTATTTGAATTTTTTCAAAATAAGGATATACTCAGCAACCAATTTATTATCATGTTTTTTTTATAAAAAAATTGTTATACTTTTAGTTGGACTACACTAAAAAATATTTTTTGTTCAAGGTGATAATATTCTAGCTGGATATGTTTGTATGTGTAAAGTTTTCAAGGTTGGTGTCATTTATGTAGTGTATTGAGCTCCATTTTGTAATTGAGGGTGGAAGCTTTTCCTTAAGTGTTGTAAATTCAATTTATTAATGTCTTATCTATAATAGAAGCTATTTTTTTTGGGCTAAGATAATGATGTATATGTATGTTACAAGCATCTTGTAACAACAGTTGAGAGTTCTGTCATTTTTTTGCTTCATTTTGGAAATTGAATTCTTGTGAAATGTTATGCTTTGGTTTTCCACTTATGATTTGAATCTAATTGCACTCCTTCATGTAATTGATACTGCAGTCTCATCAGCCCCCACCTGATGCAAGTTTTGGATTGGCCCGGCCCCGTTGAGGGGCATGGGCCATGCCTGCACCCGATCAGCCAGAGGTATAAGATGTAAAGATCATGGGCTGCTGCAGCACCAAATTTCTTTTAGCTGATTGGAGTGCAGGCATTTAGGCCGAGGTTGGCTGGAATGGATTTGTGTATTTCTCAAAGTTCAACACACCAGCATTGATCTGTCCCTCCAATCTCGGTTTTGCAAGGATGCTTCCTGCATCTTCCACCAGTCCATAACCGTGTCTCTTGTGGACATTTGAATTTTTAGAGGAGCTTTTAGAGCATATATACGGTTGTTCATGAAGAAAAGTGAATTGAGGACCTATTCACAGGAATTGGAACCGAAGAAGTTTGTGCTTGACTTGGATGAAGGTATGTGTTAGTATATATGAAAATATCTTGTCATATCTTTGAAAATCTTAAATTATCCTCTTAGTTTTTTTATTGGTTATCATATGTCATTGTCTTATCACAAGTTGTTTTCCTAAGTAAATGGTTAGGTTATGATTAATATATAAATAAGGGTTAGTGCTTTAGTATTTAGGAACACATCAATACAGTGTAATACATCTCAGTTGATATCATTTCGCGTTTCATTCCAGCATATTCCAAGTTCGTATGTTTATCTATATGTTTTGATCTCCTTTATTTTATAGTTTACTGATATATTTCAGACAGTTTTGGTTGTCTTGTTCAGTTTCCAGTAGTCCTGTATTGGTTTCTTCTGCTGCTATGACATTTCCAGCATGCTCTAACACCCGTGTTCCTCTCCAGATTTCTATTTCCTATGCTATGGTCTCTTTCAGCGTGTTTCAAATCGTCTATAGACACTGTTGCCGATCCTCCCTCTGTTGTGTCATCATTTTGGTAGGTTTAGACCTCTGTTTTGTCATCTGACATTTTTAGTGTTTTGTCACCATTCAGTTCATCTTCTCTCCTTGTTGACCTATGACCTTCTCTACTCAAATCAATCAAATTGGGCATCGGGATTAACAACTTTGGCTTGGTCCCATGGATTTCCCAGATATGAACTTGGGCCTACGGCTTTACTAAAAGTATTAGTTGGGCTCAGGTCTTTCCCAGAGACGTCAACCTGCTCTCGGTGCTTTCCTTGAGATACGAGTCTCTGGTCAGGTGGTCTTCCTAGGGAAATTAACCTAAACCTGCGACTTTATTAGAACTGTCAGCTAGTCTCCTGATAGTCTTGGGGAATTATCTTGGTCATTACCTTCCATATTCTCAAATCATATTTTTATATTTCTTTATTTAAAGGGCATGTGTGTAAGCTTTAGCTGGAGGGAGAGTATTAGAATACTGGAATATATGAAAATACCTTATCATGAACTAGATTATCCTCTAGTACTAGTTTCCTTATTTCTTGATCGTCTTTAAGTATTAGTAACCATATTTCCTGGTCATATCATATTTTGTTTCTCTAATTAGTCGGGATTATGATTTTTATTAGCAAGGGTTAATGCTTTAGGTTTTATAAACATACCTAAAATCATATAATTTCAACAATATGCTTTGCTTAACCTATCCTGTGGCTTGACTCTATCGTTTCATACTTATGTTAGAAGTTTAAAGCTGGGTAAATGAATAAAATTGAATCATACCTGGCCCCTTTTCATGGGAATTATATAGTAGTGTAAAACAGTTTTTACAATAACGCTTCTCAAGTTGAGTGTATGTAATGCAAATGGAGCATTTGTTAAATCGACCTTACATGGAATGAGTGTTATTTGATATTTGTGAATTTGTTACAGCTCCCTCAATAGCTAAAGGGGTTTCAGTTAAAGTGCTCAGTCCGTCATTTGTCTCGAGGTTGAAGCAACATTTGATGCTGCTGGGATTTAACTGAATTTTCCAAGCTCTAGTCTCTAGTCGCTATCGCCATATACTTTACAATATGGTCTGGTGAATTATCCTTGACCTCATGTATAATACATTACTAACTATAGATTTGAGATTGTATATTTAACTCAGTTCTAACATTTCTTTATCCGCATTTCCTTATTGGCTTCATATATATTATCAAAATCTCAAGCTTAATGTTGCATACGATGACAAAATTTGTTGCGCGGCATTGGTGGCGCGAGAAAAAAAGTGGACGAGGAAGAGAAGACTATGCGATGCTTATGTGCATCTTCTTTTAACGGTCTTATATTTTTTTATTTTAGTTTTAATTTTAATTTTAATTTATTTTAATTTTCTATTTAACTCTTAAAATATTTATTTACATTCTAGTTTATGAAATTGAAGAGTCTTTTTGACAAGAAAAGTTGGTCCGAATAATAAAAAAAATGCCCTTCTCCTGCCCCCCTCCCGTCATGACCCTGACCTTGGGCGGTGACAACATTGGCATTATTCTCCAGATTTAGCTTTGGAGGGGAAACTCCTATCATACCTTCCAAATTCCGATCCCCCAAATTGGAAAACCCATCTAACATGAACCCTTGCCCCCAAACAAAAACAATGTGGCGGTTGTTTGTACGCTTTCAGATACGGAGAAGGGCAGCAGAAGCTTGGAACCAATGACGCTCTAAAATACATGCTTTAGGGCTTAAAATTGCGAAAATAAAAATTAGGAAACTAAAATTTTAAATTGAATATTGCAGGGATACCATGTGTGTAGGCCTGATCAAAATTTATCGGGCCGTTTGAACCTGGGAATTCCGAAAATAAAATAAAATAAATAAAGAATTAGAGGATACGGATTCGAATGAAGTAATCAATGTAGTTAAATGCGGTTGGTTTCCAGTTAGAAAAAATGAAGCTGTTAGTATTTGAAAGTGATTGTATCTCTTCGATCTTTCTTTTTCCTTAAAAGTACCTCTTTCTCCCCTCTTCTTATTTCATCTTTCTCTTCTCATTTATCTTCGTCTCTTCTCTTCATAATTTTGTCGCTTCTTCTACATTGTTGGACAGTTTTTTTTTAATTTTCTTTTTATCTTCTCTCTGTCGCTTAATCGCATCTTCTCCACTATTGGGTATTCTGTTCCGTGACTCCACTGTTTCGTTCTGTCCCACGCCTCTACTATCTCGCTCCATCCCACCTCGACTGATAAATCTTTTATGTGAATTGAAATATTTGTCCGTTAAATCCTATCAATTTGAGAACCCCCACCCAACTACCTTGATGTAATGATCAGTCGACTATGGATCGAAAAAGGACATAGCTTGGTTTTCATTGATTTTGAAAATTCAGACTCAAACTTGTCTAAAACTGACCACTGCTCAGGACTACATGGGTGTGTTTAATATGTATTAAGGTATATGACATGAAAAACAAAACATAACAAATGCTCAAGTTATTTGACAATTTTTTGCTCTACACATTCTGAGGAACAATAGTAAAATATTGTTAAATTTAATACAATATCTTTTTTAATATTAATTATCAGTGAATTATTATTATCTTCAAAATATTACGATCAATCTTATGATGAGTGGTTGAGGTAGTATGTATGTGATCTTAGGTAATAATTATGGTGCTATCATTATAATTTTGATTGATCAAAAAAGAAATTATCTTGATGAATGATGATGGTAATTATTATGACAAAAACAACAAAGGTGGTAGTAATAGTGATAACAACGACGATAGTGGTAAGAACAAGATAGTAGTAGATTACATGGGTGGCAAAACGAGCTACGACTTGTAAGTGGGCCTAGAGGCTGATCCAAAATTGGTTGGTTCTGTCTTGCCTAGCCAACCAACTAGTCGAGCTGGGGTGAGTTGGCTCGACGACTTGCCTATTTTATTTTATTCTTTTTTTTTAATTTTTTTTTTGTTTATTTACTTTTTTTAATGAAAGTTTAATTAAGTTACTTCAGGTTTATTTTGTAATTAATTTATGATATGTTATACAATAAATCTGTTGTCTATTTGATTTATTTTATTATATGTAATTTGAAATTTGTTGTGTAATAAACCTATTACAAAAATTATGAATATTATGTAATAAATAAGTTATAATTTAATTTTTTATATCATTTAAGTATATTATTTATGTAGGTCATTTAGATATTGAAAAAAAATATATGCTAAAAGAGTAACTTAAAATAAATATGCAATTTTTTTCTTTTCTTTTTTCCCTTTTTGTTTTCGTTTTCTTTTTTTTTGGTTTCTAGGCCTTCAAACCTATCCATTGGTGAAGTGGACCAAGGTTTTCCGCCCATTTTTGCTCGACAAATTAGCCTATTTTGATAGACTAATGGCAAGTCAGGCCTAAATGGCTATACTAACTCATTTTACCATCACTAATAAATTGTAACGACGATGATTATATTGAGTGATAATGATAATAATCGAGATAGTATTAGATACAATAACAATGGTGATGATGAGTGTTTTATACTGGGACAAAAAGTTCCCAAAATTTATTGAGTAGCAAAGGATAAAATTAATTTCCATATAATTTGATTTAGGTAAAAAAATAAATTACGCAGAATAGTTACATTTTTCTTATCTAACACTATTAGTTTAGCAAATCAAACATACCTGTAAGTTATTTGAGTCGAGCATAATTATTTTCTTTAGAGGATGTTTGTGGTCTCGTGAGTAAAAGAAGTTTGAATACCCTCCCTTCCAAATATGCTTCTGATTGGATTTTTATGTTTTAATATAAGTACACATAACTAATTAAATTATGGTATATAAAATTAATCACCACGGAACAGAGCTTGCATTCAAACCCCTAAATCATATTATTATTTTTCTTTGGGTGAACAACCCCTAAATCATATTATCATGATAAATTAATGAGGAAATGTATAAAAACATTGATAATGATTAAAAAAAAGAGTAGTTTTCTTCGTTATATTTCTGATTTATAATTTTAGAAATGGAGATGACTGACTTTTCATAATAAAATGTTTTAGTCATGCTCTATGGGTTAGAAGCCATGGCACAATGTGCAATACTAATTATTAAATTTTCACATCGGTAAATAGCTCAATAACATGTTTAGAGTTTACGACTACCTTTCGTTCACAACGTAATATTTTCTTTTCATTCTTGACTGGAATATCATATTGATATTAAAAGTAGAGTTAATCACCTATACACTCTCAGCGTAAATTTTTTTTACACAACTAATTATATCTTTTAAAATTACTTATTTTATTATTATTTCATTAAATAAGCAACTGACATGTCACTATTAAAAGATATGATTAGTTATCAGTGTAAAAAACTTTACACTAGTCGTGTA